TGCTGTAAGAATTTTGACTTTATTCCTGCCATGGTGATTATTTTTATTTTTATATCAATAGATAGTACTAGAATCTGGAACAGTAACCCCTACTCTGGTATGATACGTCTTCAAGGAGGAGTTTATTCTAATGAAGGACGTGTGGAAGTGTATTGTAATGGACGGTGGGGGACAATATGTGATGACGGATTTAGTTCAACTGATGCCAGGACTGTATGCAAGCAGTTGGGATACTCTTATTATTCAAGATATGATCATTTGTCACTGTAAGGTGTCACATTTATGCTTTACTGTCATTAGTTGTATTTTTATTATAGTCCTGGTAGTTCCAGTCAGCCAATATGGTCTACACAATTTTCAAGTAGTTCATCAAGTACCTGCTTCAATTCAAGGAATTCTTGTCCCAGCTCCAGTATTACATCATGCTCACATTCTGAGGATGTAACTGTTTCTTGTTGTAAGTCAGTTCTGATTAATTTCACTCTATTGACATTTTAATTGTTATAAATAGCGTATTCTTCATTATATACCAATACTGCTACACAAGGACACTGTAATACTAGTGACACTACAGGAGATGATAGTAAATATATTTATACATTGAAATTATTACAAATATTTACTTTTTAGATATTAGTACTATTGAAGGTACAGTTGGTAGTGTTTTAATACTAGTGATAGCTTATATAGTCTGCTGCATTATTTGCTGTGTTGCTTCAAGTAAAAAGAAGTCAAAGTCTGATACAAGCAGAAGACCAGTCATTTTTCTATTGACTAGTATTTCAGGATCACAAAGACAGTTCACAACACAGCAACATAATGCTAGTAGTACTTCAGAAAAAGGTGAAGTAGGTCTTCGCTCAGGAGAGCCACCGCAATATAATGAGCTATTTAAAACCAATTAATTAGTAAACGTATATATAAACCCTTTTAAAACTTTTTATAGTTTTGTGCAACCTTTTACTAGCTATTTTTATATTTTGTGCTGCTTAATAATAATTAAACAAACCTGCCAAGGCAATGAATTAAACATTAGAATTTAGGTCCAACATGCACTAGATGTAGTATAGTTACAAAAATTGTTGCATTTAATATGATTTGCATAGTATATGTTCAGTTGATTAACACACCTCAGCAGTCAAATTATTTCCTAGGAGCAAAAGTAAATGACTAACAGTGTACATTTATATAAAATAAGACAGACTGCTAAATCAAAATTTTATGATACAAAAATGCATCAAATCTAGTCCTTTTTCATAAAAATGCATTAAAACCATTAAAAACAAATAGTAACAACTATAAACTACATCATTAAATAAGAGGCTAAATAAAAATCGAATCTAACCTGAAATTAGAAGAAAGCATTCTGGTTCTGTTTGAATGTTGGAGAGATAGGACCAGTCACAGGAGAGAAATTAAAAGGACAGGAACAGGCTATAACATTATTATATACACCATGAACACACTTGTTTCATTGGTTGATATCTGCAAGTGTAGTTTTTTATATCAGACAAATTAAGCTACATACCACCTCCTAATACTAATTCAATTGCATTTGTGATTCAAATTTAACAAATAAGTCTTAAAAGAAGTATCTGATTATTAGGTGAAGCCCACTAAGACAAGAAAGAGTTTGTACAAAGAAAATGGAGATAGGGTCGTAGAACATAGATTTTATAACTACGTAACAAATCATGTAATCAATCAATATTATTTTAATAAAAATGATACAAAAAATTGTTTAAGTTAAATTTTCAACTAAACCTAGCTTCTTTTCATGAATCATAAATGCAATGTTTCTTAGTTTATTAGCATTGATTGGGCCAGTCTGATCTACTAATTGCCCTAAGTAAGATGATGGCCGACTGAGCAACAAATAAGGTTCATCATACTCTACTAATACTCCTTTATCAAGTACCTATCGGAAACAAGACTGCATTAACAAGCACACATGCATTAATGCTAAGTCTACCATAATTTTATCATAATCCATTACAGTATTCAGGCGATGTGCAACAGTCAGTATAGTACATTCACTAAACTGCTCACGAATTACTTCTTGAATGATAGAATCAGTTCTAAATCAGTTGCAATAAAAATGATACAGCATATGCTTAAATTATCCTACTTTATGTCTACATTGGCTGTAGCTTCATCCAGTACTAGAATCGGGTTCTTTCTCAGTAAAGCTCTTGCCAAACAAAAGAGTTGTCTTTGCCCTACACTGAAGTTACTACCACCTTCTCTGATGATTGACAGTAAACCTTCATCTAGTCCTTCAATTGCAGATTTCAGTTGAACCTGAAAAAAATTAAACAAGTGGTAAACTAAAAAATTATACTACTGAAGCCAGTGTTTCCCCAGAATTTTGGCATAATGCTCATGCAGGTTCTTGTTAGTGGATTTTAAAAGTTCAAAATACAATAACATTATACAGGGTATTTTTTTCAAAATGCTAGGAGAGAATATTTATTTTTTGTAATGCATATTCATGCTTATGTGCTGTATAGAAATTTTAAGCTGATTCCGATAAAGACTGAATTTTTAAAGCTGCTTCAAAATGATTCAAAGACAGTTTTTTGGTCAAATTTTGCCAAAAATGACTAGAAAAGACAATTTAATAATTGCAATTTCAACAAAAGTGGCTAGGAGAAAATTCTAATCCATACATTATTTTCTTACATAGTGTAGAAATTTGAGTTGAAATTGGAGTTTAAATGAACTTTTCTAACCAATAATACATGTAACAGTAACTGATAACCTGAAATAATCAGTCTTGTTAACTGATCAGCCTAAAACCAGTTCACAGCTCTAATACTATATAATGCACGTACTTGTTCCAAAGCTCTCCATATGTCACTCTCATCATACAAGTCAAAAGGATCAAGATTATAACGAATTGTTCCACCGAACAGAACTGGATCCTGCAGATGACACATAATTAACACAACCAATATAAAATTATAATCATTACTTGAGGAATGATTGATATATTCCTCCTAAGTTCATGTAGTCCTATAGTACAAATGTCAACTCCATCAATAACAATACTACCACCAGCTGGTTCCTCTAATCTAAACAATGCTGATACTAATGATGTCTTTCCTGCACCAGTTCTACCCACTATACCAACCTAATAACCAAAATAGACACATAACAGAATAAAAGATTTCATTCACAGTAGCATACCTTTTCTCTTGATATTACAGTGCAAGATATATCATTTAATACTTGAGGGCCATTCACTGAATGTTTATAAGACACGCTATTCATTACAATATTTCCTTTATCAGGCCAGTTAGGTGGTGGGTGAGACTTTGGAGAAAGAGTTTCAAGTGATGCTTCGACTTTCAACTTGCCATATGCAATAACACGCTCTGGTGACACCATCTACAATGAATATTCTAGAGTACATTGATATTCAATATTCTGCATTTTTACCAATGACTCAACTTCAGTGCTCGTTCTCATATAAAAAGCAAAAACATCAGTTAATTGGAGTGAATATGTTAGAGTGAGTGACAACAGTGCTGGGTCAAGAACTAATCGAGAGTTAATCTATATAGTAACAATTCATGTACAATCAATACCTTGCGATAGTCCAACCGAAGTTAACACAAACGTTGCTAAAAATAATGCAATTAAAAAGTCAAGTCGTGTAGAAAACCACCTATGTACAGCAAAAAACACATAAATATACTATAATGAAAGTGAAACATACCTTGCAGTGACAATAAAGAGATACCAAGACTGAGTGTGTTGGTTCTGGTACTGGTGGAGTTTCTCTATCATTATTGATTCCATTGAATAGGAACGAATGGTTGAGAGCCCTTGCAGTGTTAGTGATAAGTGAGAATAGATTGGGCTACGAGCTATGTAAGAAAAATAATTTGTGTAAATATTAGTTTAGAATTAATGATAGTCACAAAAATCAATTTAAAAATTTTCCGCTTCCTGATACAGCTAACAAACCGATTGCTTCCAGTCTCTTGATATCTCTAGCTGTCTTGAGGTAGTACCACCTGATACCAATGAAAGCCACAAGGATTATGACCACCAGTATTATCAAATAATAATTAGCAACGACTGAAATCAAAAACAATCCTACATTTTGAAATGTCAACTGTAAATGAAACTAAAAGTAAGACTCCGTCAGAATTTGTTTACTGTGAAAAAAATTGATAATTTGGATACCAAGGTGTCATCCATAAACCCAATGTCCTTTGAAAATCTATTCAAAATTTGACCTGTGTAATAAAAAATGACTTTAAATCAATTTGTTAAATTAATTACCAATAGGATTAGTATCAAAGAAATATATTGGAGCTCGCAGGACATGAGAAAACATCCTGTTGTGAAGTACTTGTGCTGATCTTATTAGTAGGCCACACATAAAAGCTTTCCCAATAAAAGAAAGTGCTATCAAACCAGCAGTTAACCCGCTATATATCTGAACTCTTTCACTGTTAGATAAAAGACAGGTGGAAGAGTAGGAGCTATTAAGGTTATCATGTACAGAACACTGTGACCTGGAAAAAACCAATTATCCCTTTAAAAAATGAAGCGATATACACAATTTATACTTGATTCTACTTGCAGAATACAAATACACAAATGCAAATACAATGCATTCTAATATTATACTACAACAATCATTCATATGATACCGTATAGCTCCAAATTTTCGTTGGTCAAAATTTTCATCAAATTCGTCAGTGTGGGTAGTAAACGAATTAATGGCAAAAATGATGAAAATTTTTATTGACAAAAATTAATTTTAGCAAAAATTAAGATATTGACAAAATTTTTGACCGACAAAATTTGGAGCTATAAGGTATAATAATCATAGACCTACCAATCAGCAATCCACCAGTCAGTAATAACAATAACTGCCTTGAATAAAAGACATCATACATAGTAACAACAATAATACTTACTTCAGTTATAATATATAATCCAAAAGCAAGTGCTGTAAATAGGTAGCCACCACCAGCTTTGAAGTACTGACAGTAAGTTTTCATGGACACTGTACCATGAGCCCGCTCTTCATCAGGTACATGTAATAAATTAGTATCATCCTACAAAAATGCATCGGTAAGTTTTTAGATGATGATTTAAATGCTACTACATATGTTACACTAGGCCTCACTAGCTGACCTCATTTGCAGCATCATCTTCATAGCTTAAACCTATAGTATCATACACTTTAATTTACATATTAAATACTCTGCCTGACTTTCACTGGATTCAGTAACAGTCACTGCTCTTGTCTCAACAACTTGATTTGTAGTAGCTTCATTACTATCCCCTTCAACACTCCTACCCTATCATGATATACATGTACATGTACTTATTATTGATAATAGCAATACAAAACTCACTTCAGCCAGTCTCAGTACAGAATGGCAATGCATTAAATATTGTGTTTGATGTGTTACCAGTACAACACATTTCTCTGCTAATAATCCACAGATACACCTTCACATTATATGGAAAAAGCTACACATCATTCATGGTACTGGCAGTTACTTTTCAAATATATGTCTACTGACAGCAGAGTCTACAGCACTCAAAGGATCATCAAGCAAGTATATGTCAGCTTTTCTGTAGACAGCTCTTGCTAGATTGACTCGTGCCTTTTGACCACCACTGAGTGTCACTCCTCTCTCTCCCACTAGTGTCAGATCACCATTCTCCAATAATGATATATCCTAGTAATAATAATAATAATAATAATAATAATAGCTAATAATAATAATAATAATAATAATAATAATAATAATAATAAAGATCACACTGGAAGGGATTGGGATCTGATGATGGATTGGGCATAAACCCACTCTTTCTATAACATTACTCAACTTAAAATTAATAACGTCGACTATTACTTCTAATTTTTTAAAGCAACTTAACATAACCTAATCTGCCTTTGTTTTTTATAATAATTAGTGATAGCAGTGATAAACACAATAATAATAAGAATAATCAAGATTCTTGCTTCATGAACTGACAAGCACTACAGTACATGGCATTTGGAGCAGCTTTAAAAATTGATTTAAAAATCCTAAGTTGATTGGAATCAGCCCAAATTTTCTACACAAATTGAGAACATGTACGGGGGTATATGCATCAGAAAAAATTATAAAAATGGAGAATTCTCTACTTTCAATTTTTGTCCAAATTTGGCCAAAGTCCCTGTACTACAGTACAGGGACTTTGGCCTATTCTTGAGTAACTTCAAAAATTCATAAAAATCAAATTTTTATCAAAATCTGCTCAAACTTGCTACACACCATAAGAACATGTATATGCATTAGAAAAAAATTATAAAAATGGAGAATTTTCTCCTAGTCATTTTTGGCAAAATATTTGGTCAAAGAGCCTGTACTACAGTACAGGGCATTTGGCCCAATTCTTAAGCAACTTTAAAAATTCATAAAATATTAATTATGATCAAAATTTTCTAAGTGACATAAGAACAAGCATTATGTATTTTTAAAAATTATAAAAAATGGAAAATTCTTTCAGAGCAATTTTTTGCACAATTTGGCCAAAAACCAAAGGCATCAGATTTTTGAGCAACTTTAAAAACTCATAAAAATCCAATTTTCATCATTATCTACTCAAATTTTCTACACAACATAAGAACATGCATGTTTATCAGAAAAAAATTAGAAATGGAGAATTACCTCCTTGTGATTTTGTCAAAATAGCCCATAGCCCTGTACTATATAGTACATGTAGTACAGGGTTTTTGGCCAAATGTTTGAGCAACTTGACAATTCACAAAACATTAATAAACAATTACATTAAAAGAGCTAAACATTACGTTTTCAAGAGCACAAGCATGTACCACAGTCCTATACCATTGATCTTCATATGGTAAACCAAACAGTATGTTCTCCCTAAGACTGGTTGAGAATACACATGCTTCTTGACTAGCATATCCTATTGATCCTCTCACTGATACTGTACCACTTAATGCTGGTAGCTCCTTCAATAAACACTGGAGCAAAGTAGACTGGAGGAATAGAACATACATGTACATATAATGCTGTAGAGACAATTAAATTTTGCTATACAGAATATGATGTTAGAATAAGATGCTTTAAACCTTCTAAAAATCTATGGTAGGCTCATATGAAGTATCATTCCTTGATATACCGTATAGCTCCAAATTTTTGTCGGTCAAAATTTTCGTCAAATTCGTCAGGTACTTTTGCTTGACAAAATTTTTAACCAACGTTTTTGTTCCACGTGGGTAGTATGCAGATTAATAACAAAAATGACGAAAATTTTATTGACGAAAATTAATTTTAACAAGAAATTAAGATTTTGACAAAATTTTTGACTGATGAAATTTAGAGCTATACAGTAGTTATACACGTACCTTCCCAGATCCAACAGGACCTACAACAGCCAGCAATGCATTATCCTGCATATTAATTATAATCAATAATGATTCATTAAGCTGTTATTATGAGTACCTTTTCATCTACATTAAAAGAAATATCGAGCAGTGTTGGTTTGCAAATGTCCATCGACCATGAAGCAGTTAAATGATCAACGGTTATTCTTGGACCAATATCATTGTCTACATTCTTATTTGTGGCTGTAAGAGGAACTAGTGTAACATTATCATCACATTTAGCATCTAATAAAGTGACAGCATCAGGAACAATTATACATTTCTATGTTACTTTCAGCAATTGAAATAACTGATAATTCTGGCAGCAGCAAAAATTCCTTATCATTAAAAATTGAAAGAATAGAAATGAGTTTTTGATTAAAAAAAATACCTTTATTCTTTTGTATCCAACTTGAGCATCAAACAACTGAACCATAGCCACAGAAAAATGAATGGCACTATAACGCAAGAAGAAAATGTTTGCTAAAGTACTGAAGAGAATCCCAGGAGTAAGTATACCACCAAATAGAGTAAACACACTGAATGTGAATAACATAGTAATGTTAATGACACTCCGAGAGAGTAAATTATTGAACTCCTTTATCATCATACTAGCTAAAATAAACCAGATTTCATGTCTAAAACAAAAAAAATCATATTATTCTAAATTAGTGATTCATTCCTACCTTCTTATTCTTGAAACTAGTTGACTAAAAGCATATTCCCAGCCGTACATTTTAATGACTCTCATACCACTAATGACTTCATTCATTACTTTAACTCTCCTGTCAGTCACTTTAGCAGCTTTATACCTATAACGATAATTAATTATTAACAATCAATAACACATGAAATTTAAGCTTAAAAACCAAAACTGACTCAGCATTATAATTACATGTATGGCAATCAGTAATAAGTCTGCCTTACCTCAACTTTGAGTATATGGTAGCCAGAGCCAATGTAAGTGGTATAAATATAATGTTTATGCCAAGAGTGATCATTGAAGACCATTCCAGCTTTAGAAACAGTAAATAGACAACAACTGACAGATGAATGGGGAAAACCAAGAGAAATGGAAAGTATGATACACACTATAGAACATGAAACTGATACAAAATCTTTTTAAATGACAAGTACTGTACCTCATCAAAACGATGAACATCATTAGAAGCAACATTAATCACATGACCCATAGTCACACGACTGATGGTTGTTTGACTCAATCTGAATACCTACAAGTATAGGTGAGAGAAAAATAAAATAAAAGATTTGTATTAGGCTCACCTTACAATAGATTGCACTGGTTAGTATAATTCTCACCATTCCACCCATCTTGCGCCCAATATAAAACACATAGTTAATGAACATTAGTAAGATTGATGAGAATATAAGAAGTGAAGCATAAATGTATGCATCTCTCGTTTCATCTGAGGTTGGACTTTCAATTGAAAAATAATTTGTTAGTAAACCTAAAACTTCTGACTGTGCCAGCAATATGGAGACCTACAAAATAGAAAGAGATGAGCTGTAAAGGTCATCACATGGCAATTTGTTGTCAGCAAACAAGCAACATGCTGCCAAAAATAGACCATATTTCTATATTTGGCAGCATGTTGCTTACAATCAAAAATGTTTTTGTCCAATCTAATCATACCAGTATGAATGTCAAAACTTGCATTAGCAACATTCTCCACCAAAGACACTTCACAATGACCAACCACATCCTTTTATTAGCATTACCTCTAGTGACCAGCTCGTGCAGCCAATACCTACAAATCTATGTATATTTAGGTTGATTAAAAATTAAGATAAACTTAAATGAGTTATACTAAAGATGTTTATATTAAGGCTTAAACATAAAATCATTTTCATGACAGGAAAATTGTATTTTATCCATTGTTTCATGTATGTCCACACAGTTGTGTATCAATCATCACACAATAAACTGGCTATTTTCAATATTATGTGAAAGGATAAAAACAATGTTTTGTTAATTGTGTGGGCGTTATGACTTTTTGAAATACGTACGTGTCGTGTAAGAATGCTCTGGCTTGTATCTTGTGTGTAAAGGCTAGTTTACAATATGATGGTAGGCCAGTGTACCGTCAACTTTTAATTAAAAGCATGGGCAATTTGAACTTTTGACGCATACTTTAAACTTGAATAGAATGAGATTCTATTACAGCGTCAACATAATGTCAGGACTAGCATAATATTGTAAACCAGCCTTTAGATATAAACCAGGCTTAATAGCATTAAATAATTTTATAGGAGCTCTTCAATTAAATAAGTAGAAAAGAATTAAATTTAATAAATTATGCAATTGTGCATAGCAACTAATAATATATCAAGCTACCTATTGAACTTGTCATAGAGATATAGTGAGTCACATTCTGAGGGATGAGTGTACAAATCCCCTTGAAGGAGGCTTCTACGACAACCAATACAAAACAATGGCTCTATCCAACTAAAAAATTAGAAAATTATAAAGCTTAGATTACATTGTCTCAAAGACTAACTTACCAAAAGAAAAACCGGCAAAATATATTATACTGAAATTTCTTCCTTGGATCTTTCATCATTACATCCTTCACCCCACCCTTCTCTGACATGGAGCACGTGGTTTTTGTATACTTCCGGATACCGTATTCGGATTTTTTTCGAGGATTTTTTTTCACTTTCCTGTCGGCTTTCCTTAATGAAGCCTCGATTCTTTCTACCTCGCTTTCTACTGATAGCAACCTTTCTTTTGACAAGAATACGTCATGGATTAGCATGCACTAGTGGTTCTATTAGACTCGTGGGTGGCACTAGTACCAGTGAGGGACGTGTTGAAGTATGCAGTAGTGCTGGTGCATGGGGTACTGTCTGTGATGACTACTGGGATAACACTGATGCAAGCGTTGCCTGTCGTCAGTTAGGATATGCATCAGGTATGCTTTATTATCATCATATTAATGCACACTCACAGTACCAATACTGTATATACAAAGATTACAATCAATAAATTCACTGATTTATCATGTTATTACTAATGATACCAGCTATGCCTGACCAAAAAATGATTATACTGGCATGCACAGTGTGAGGCACAGAACTCGTGCATGATCATCACAATTTTAAATGGCTTTCAATTTACCATCATGGATAGCAAACAGATCATATTGAAGCAAAACTGATTAAGTCTTATGACGATTATGATTTTAGTATGAATGTCCTTGTAAATTGTAGCATACTCTTTTGCATATGGCTAGATTAGCTTTTAGGGAGTAAATTTTAGAATGTTAGTGAGTATATAGTGCATGTGCCATGCAACTAGATTAATTGGTATATTATAGGCTCAACAAGACGTTAGTGCACGGTAGTAGTTTAAAAATGAAAGTGACACTATCATACCCATAGTACTATAATACTATAAAAATAGTAAGTAATAAAATTAAGCTGTGTGGCTGTTGCCTAATTGTGTAGGAATTGCCACTACGGTCAAGCTGACCGTCATATAGTTTACTCTGACTTGTCATTGGCAACATAACCGACATAACTAATATAGCCGACATATATAACTAACATAGCCAAGAAGGAAGTTGAACAGGCATTACTTGTTTATACTATAATGATGTCATCTTGATGATAACCCACATCTATGATATTGAATTAACCTTTACAGAATAAACTACATACGTGTATACATTCCAATTATTCTCATAATAATTTCATTGATGGTAAACTATGTATAATCATGAAAGCTATCACTTTGGGTGCACGCATGCAGTTGTATGCCAGTGTTTATAAGCATTGTAGCATGGCAAATTTGTTATTGTGAGATATTTTTTGTTCACAAACAGTTGCATTATATATACATGAGAAAGGTCTACTTGTTTGGTTCAATTGCTTTAGCATTATCACTTTGTAGTTGTTACAGATTATGCATGCATAACACTATAAAGTGCATGATGGTCATTCACAGTATAAAAGGTGGTGCCTTAACCATCACATGACATCATTTTGGCTTTGATGAATTTATTTGTGGTAAGTGCATGTATAATTGGCAAATTTTGTACTGCATACCAGTTAATTTCTGTGGTAAAAATATTTTGTGAACCTGTAAATTGCATTTTGCAAGCTACATGTACTCTGAAAAATTGTAGATTTGAAATTGCAAATACATGTAGTTTGTAATTTGCACCACATAACAATGAAGATACAGAATTCACATTTTTAATTTTTACGATGCAACAAAAACACTTGAAAGATAATAGTTGACTGTGAGAGAATAAGCCAGTATATGATACTAGCATTTTTGTGCCACTTGTTATTGAGCACACAATGCAATGCCAGATTTTGACACTATAAATTTCTTCACAGGCATTTGCCAGTATTATTCCTCTCCATTAAATCATCTTGTGCAGTATTCAAAATGGTTTGTGCATATTGTCTGAAATGATTTATACAAGTTCTGAAATAATTATTGTAAAATACTTAGACTAGCCTAGCTTTTGCTAGCCTGGACATTTGCTATAGCACTTTAAATAATAAATGTAACAGTATTATAGTTTTGGTTGGTCAATTTGTAGTTACTTCAGCACCCTGTGTGTCATTGGCCTCGCCAGCGATTAGCATGGGCAATGACTATGTAGTTAAATGTGATGTCTATCAGTTGTTCTGTCCAAAACCAACTGTTGCTTTGAAGTTTTGTGGTTTTATTTTTTATCTGTGTTTGTTTCAGGAACTGCTTTTAGTAATGCTTACTTTGGACAAGGAACAGGTAGCATTGTCATGGATGATGTACGGTGTACTGGAACTGAATCCACTCTTATAAACTGTTCTCACGTTACTTATCACAACTGTTATCATTATGAAGACGCTGGAGTAAGATGCACAGGTAAGAATTATTTGTGAAAAAATTTAACAATATTGCTACGAACTTGAGATTATTCTGCTATGTGATGCCATTATTATTTATATTACTAGTCAGTACTGTATACCTTGTAGCAGGATTTATTGTGGTTGTGAGAAATGTTAGTTAATATAGATAGGTTAAATTTTAATAGTTGCATATCAGGCCGCTAAAATATTGGCAATAATAATTATTATTAGTGGGTTATTGATGCATTTATTCTCTTAAATTATCAATTTTTGTTCATAAATCTTGCTTGTGCTTTGTCAACTAGTTTGGGAGGGTGGCACATCTGTTGAACATTAATTCAAGGGGAGTAAAGCATGTACACTCATGCCTTGATGTATTGTATGCAAATACTCAAAAATTAAAAAAATACTCCACTTACTTTTTCTGTCATTGACATAGTTATTATACAAACATATTTTGAATAGATTGATTAAAGCATTCTACAAGACCATTAGCCTGTTAAAAAGATTAACAAAAATTCAGTTAATTAATACAACTATCAGACATCGCATGTATAAGTGATACATGAGTATATTTATGAGTCATGAAATTGAACCAGGATGAACAAACCCAAGTATAGAAGACTATGATACTAATTTTTTCTATTGTTTCATTTTAATGTCAATTTTTATTTTAAAATACTCAAAAGTATCAAAAAAGATGCAAATGCAAATAATGAGCATTGGATACATCATGCAATGTCTGACAACTACTATGTCTAATATACTGCTCCAGAAATCAAATTGTCCCACATGCTACAGTTCATTTTGATTAATTATACTTGGTTTTATATGACAAGAAACTGTAGTTTGTACTCACAATAATCTATTCAAGCTTTCTGTATAAATATGTTAAGTAGCCATTTTGATAAAATATTATTCTAGATCTATATTTGCTAATAAAAATTTATTTTTAAGATACAAAAATTGACTTTTGTGTAGCATAAAAGTACCAATATGTACCAGACAAATACCCCTTCTGGCAGGCCTAGACCAGCTCTTCAGCAACCAATTGATTTAATTTATGATCAGGATAGCTTTATGCTCTAGAATATACCGTATAGCGGGTTTATTTTGAGGATAACAAATTTCGCGAATTTCTCGGGTTTTCCAAGATTTACGAAAATAAATTTTTTGAAAATCAATTTAATATGGTACAAGATGGCAAAATAGTGGAAATTTGTGAAAATTAATTCCGCGAACTTATTTGCAAAATTTATTATCCTCGAAATAAACCCGCTATACGGTAGCTTTTGATTAACTCAAGTTGAAAATTTTTGATTATTAGAATGTTTCATTCACAGATTTTATTTCAGTTTTCACAGACTCGTAATATTTTGGTGTGATTTACATGATATCAATACTCAGAACTATAATGTTCTCTGTACCAAAAAATTGATCTTATGTGTATAATTTTGTAGCTGTTATTGCTGCTACCAATGGAGCCCTAATTCTCTCTCGTTATAATATAACATCAAACTCTTATTACTACGGAACAGTTAGAGTATATTATAATGGATGGGGTAATATCTGTTATGATTATTATTATAATTCAGTTGAAGCTAATGTTATTTGTCATCAGTTGGGATACACTGGAGCTTCAAGCTACTCAAGAACTGGACTTGTCAGGTGTGTACTAGTCACTAAACATTATAAAAACATAAACACTGTTTCTGTAGTTATGGTACCGACTACCTTTCTATGAAGTGGGATGAAGTTAACTGTGCCAGTAGCAGCTATTTATCTATTGCTCAATGTTCATACTCTACTTATATTAGTGGCTATAGTTGTAGTTACAGTAACAGTTATGATGCTACTGTCTACTGCTGTAAGATAATTATTTTTTTTTAATTTGACATTATTATATTGTACAGATAGTACTAGAATCTGGAACAGTAACCCCTACTCTGGTATGATACGTCTTCAAGGAGGAGCTTATTCTAATGAAGGACGTGTGGAAGTGTATTGTAATGGACGGTGGGGGACAATATGTGATGATGGATTTAGTTCAACTGATGCCAGGACCGTATGCAAGCAGTTGGGATATTCTTATTATTCAAGATATGATCATTTGTCACTGTAAGATGTCATAATCTTGCTTTAATGTCATTAGTCTTATTTTTATTATAGTCCTGGTAGTTCCAGTCAGCCAATATGGTCTACACATTTTTCAAGTAGTTCATCAAGTACCTGCTTCAATTCAAGGAATTCTTGTCCTAGCTCCAGTGTTACATCGTGTTCACATTCTGAGGATGTAACTGTTTCTTGTTGTAAGTCAGTTCTGATTAATTTCACTCCATTGACATTTTAATTGTAATATATAAATAGCATATTCTTCATCATACACCAATACTGCTACACTAGGACTCTGTAATACTAGTGACACTGCTACAGGAAATATTAGTAAAATATATTTATACATTGACATTAATTATTACAGATACTTACTTTTTAGGTATTGGTGCTATTGAAGGTACAGTAGGCGGTATTTTAATACCAATGATAGTTTATATAGTCTGCTGCATTATTTGTTGTATTGCTTCAAATAAAAAGAAGTCAAAACCTGAAACAAGCAGAAGACCAGTCATTCTTGTAATGGCTAAAATGTCAGAGTCACCAAACAAATGAACTTTTTAAAACTTTTATAGTTTTGTGCAAACTTTTAGCTAATTTTATATTTTGTGCTGCTTATGATAAGTAAACAAGCCTGCCAATGCAATAAAATAAGCATTAGAACTTAGACCCAACATGCACTAGATGTAGTATAGTCACAAAAAAGCATTTAACATGATTTGCATAGTTTATGTTAGTCCTCAGGCAATGACTGTCCAGATATTTATTGACAGTTAATTAGCACACTCAGCAGTCAAATTATTTCCAGGAGCAAAAAGTAAATGACTAACAGTATACAGTTATACAGACTGCTAAATCAAAATTTCTTGTTACAAAAATGCAGCAGATCTAGTCCTTTTTTATAAGAAATGCATTAAAAACAATAAAAACAAATAGTAATGACTATAGACTGCATCATTAAATACCATATAGCGGGTAATTTTTGAGGGGATTAAATTTGGCGAATTTGACGTTTTGATAGCCATTCACCAAAATAAAAATCTGCCAAACAACAAAATTTAGCAATTCGCCAAATTTCAGCCCCTCCAAAATTACTCGCATACGGTAAGGGGCCAAATAAAAATCAAATCTAACCTGAAATTAGAAGAAACCATTTTAGTTGTTGTATTGAATGTTGGAGAAAGTGATGGGACCAGTCACATGCAGGAGAGAAATTAAAAGGACATGCAGGAACTATATATAACATTATTATATACAGCCTACAGCATGAAGCATTGGAACACACCTGTTTCATTGGTTGATATCTGCAACTGTAGTTTTTATATCAGATAAATTAAGCTACTGTACATACCTCCTAATGCTAATTTAATTGCATCTGTGATTCAAATTCAACAAATAGGTCCTAAAAGAAGTACCTGATTATCGGGCAAAGCCCACTAAGACGAGAAAGAGTTTGTGCAGAGAAAAGCAGATAGGGTCGTAAAACATAGATTTTATAACTACATAACAAATCATGTATTCATTGCATATTATTTCAATTAAAATGATACAAAAAATTGTTTAAGTTAAATTTTTAGTTAAACTTAACTTCTTTTCGTGAATCATAAATGCAATGTTTCTTAGTTTATTAGCATTGATTGGGCCAGTCTGATCTACTAATTGCCCCAAGTAAGATGATGGCCGACTGAGCAACAAATGAGGTTCATCATACTCTACTAATACTCCTTTATCAAGTACCTATTGGGAATGAGACTGCATTAACAAGCACACATGTATTAATGCTAAGTCTACCATGATTTTATCATAATCCATTACAGTATTCAGGCGATGTGCAACAGTCAGTATAGTACATTCACTAAACTGCTCACGAATTACTTCTTGGATGATAGAATCAGTTCTAAATCAATTGCAATAAAAATGATAAAGCAAATGTTTAAATTATCCTACTTTATGTCTACATTAGCTGTAGCTTCATCCAGTACTAGAATCGGGTTCTTTCTCAGTAGAGCTCTTGCCAAACAAAAGAGTTGTCTTTGCCCTACACTGAAGTTACTACCACCTTCTCTGATGATTGACAGTAAACCTTCATCTAGTCCTTCAATTGCAGACTTCAGTTGAACCTGAAAAAAATTAAACAAGTGGTAAACTAAAAAATTATGCTACTGAAACCAGTGTTTCCCCAGGACTTTAGCATAGTGCTCATGCAGGTTCTTTTTAGTGGATTTTAAAAGTTCAAAATACAATAACATTATACAGGGTGTTTTTTCAAAATGCTAGGAGAGAATATTTATTTTTAGTAATGCATATTCATGTTATGTGCTGTATAGGAATTTTAAGCAGATTCCAATAAACATTGAATTTTTAAGCTGCTTCAAAATGATTCCAAGACAGTTTTTTGGTCAAATTTTTGCCAATAACAACTAGAAAAGATTTTCCAATTTAATAATTGGAATTTCAACAAAAGTGGCTAGGAGAAAATTCCAATCCATACATTATTTTCTTACGTAGTGTAGAAATTTGAGTTGAAATATGAACTTTTCTAACCAATAATACATGTAACAGTAACTGATAACCTGAAATAATCAGTCTTGTTAACTGATCAGCCTAAAACCAGTTCACAGCTCTAATACTATATAATGCACGTACTTGTTCCAAAGCTCTCCATATGTCACTCTCATCATACAAGTCAAAAGGATCAAGATTATAACGAATTGTTCCACCGAACAGAACTGGATCCTGCAGATGACACATAATTAACACAACCAATATAAAATTATAATCATTACTTGAGGAATGATTGATATATTCCTCCTAAGTTCATGTAGTCCTATAGTACAAATGTCAACTCCATCAATAACAATACTACCACCAGCTGGTTCCTCTAATCTAAACAATGCTGATACTAATGATGTCTTTCCTGCACCAGTTCTACCCACTATACCAACCTAATAACCAAAATAGACACATAACAGAATAAAAGATTTCATTCACAGTAGCATACCTTTTCTCT